TTAAAAACAAACTTATTTTACATACCAATTCCAGTTCCCTCTCCCTCCGGTCCTCCCATCGCCCCCACCTTCTCTTAACCAGCTATGTATGGGAGCAAAGGCTTTTAACAGGTTCTGCTGCCTTGAAGGACTGTCACATGGTCAAAAGCATATATTCATGCTAGCAGGCTTTCTAATCTTTATCTTATCAGTCACACACTGCTTAAGAAATTGTATGAATCTGGTTGTAATATGAAAACACTGTTTCCCAGTCAATCTTCTTGCTCTCCCAACACTTAGTTAATGTGTTTGCAAATGTGGGGATTTGAAAAACATTTCTTTCTTTCTTTCTTTCTTCTTCTTCTTCTTTTTTTTTTTTTTTTTTGTATTAAAAATGCACACACCTGTATGCCTTTCGAATGCAACAGAAGCTGAGGAAGCTGGAAGATTGACACCTGGCTCATCGTCAGGGTTTTCTGCTTGGCTGGAGGCTGTATGATTAGTATTATACTTGGCTTCCTTTGGCCATAGATGGGAGATATCTATGTGTGTAATGCAAATTTGGGTTCTGTGAATGCTACTTCCAAAATAAGCCAGGAGCTGAATGGCAGAAAACACAATTGGGTAATAAGCATTTGGGGGTTCGGAAATCTGTGAAAGAAAGGCTGAGCCACTGCAAAGTAAAAGCCAGAGAGATTTGGAATTAATTAAGAGCAGCTACTGGGAGAGCAGCCATTTATGGAAGCAGACTTGAACCAGACATCCTGGAGGCCAGCTTCAAAGACGGATGCAAGCAAGAGAGACAGTTTAGCTGACTTTGCAGAATGCAGGAGGAGAGTAAGAAGCAAAGATTATGTCCCAAATTGCATACGATGCATTCTTACCGCGTCTCCCATGTTTTCTGACTGTACCAGGTTTGTATCATCAAGAACCCGTTCCCATCTCTTGTGACGCCCTCAAGCAGAGAAACCCATATCTCTCTGGTTTTTTCTAGAAGCCGACAGGGTCATTCACCAGGAACTGTTTATTACACTGAACAGAACTGAGTATTTGATTATCTGAAGGTGATTCAGAAAGGGGAACAGATATGTGAGACAGAATTTCATCCGTTCATCACTGCAGCAAGGGTGATCATAATGACCAGAGGGAAATGTGTTCTTAAGGCAGAGAAATTGCTCAAGACAAGCCCTTAGGGGAACAGCAGATACTTTTTAGCCCAAGGCTGGCTAAACGACAGCAAGCCCAAAGGCAGAAAGTATATAGAACTTAATTATGTACTTCCCAACTATTCTCTGTTATGCCGCAGTCAGCACTGCAAAATAAGCACTGCTGTCCTCAGAGGAGGAACAAGCGAAAACGACAGGTAAGGATGGGATGCTGCTCCTCCATTCTGGAGGCAATGCGGAGAGGTGGGGCGAGAATCCAGTCACATCAGCTTAAAGATGTTCTGTCTGCTCTGCACTGTGTGTACTGTGTGCACTGTGTGTACTGTGTGCACTGTGTGTACTGTGTGCACTGTGTGTACTGTGTGCACTGTGTGTACTGTGTGCACTGTGTGTGCATTGTGTGTATTGTGTGCATTGTGTGTACTGTGTGCACTGTGTGTACTGTGGGCACTGTGTGTACTGTGTGCACTGTGCACTGTGTGTGCATTGTGTGTATTGTGTGCATTGTGTGTACTGTGTGCACTGTGTGTGCATTGTGTGTACTGTGTGCATTGTGTGTTTTGTGCACTGTGTGTGCATTGTGTGTACTGTGCACTGTGTGTGCATTGTGTGTACTGTGCACTGTGTGTGCATTGTGTGTATTGTGCACTGTGTGTGCATTGTGTGTACTGTGCACTGTGTGTGCATTGTGTGTACTGTGTACTGTGTGCATTGTGTGTATTGTGTGCTGTGTGTGCATTGTGTGTACTGTGCACTGTGTGTGCACTGTGGGTACTGTGTACTGTGTGCATTGTGTGTATTGTGTGCTGTGTGTGCATTGTGTGTACTGTGCACTGTGTGTGCACTGTGGGTACTGTGCACTGTGTATACTGTGTACTATGTAATGTGTATGCTGTGCACTGAGTATGCTGTGCACTGTGTACATTGTGTATATGATGTACTGTGTATGCTGTGTACTGTGTACTATGTCTGCACTGTGTGTACTGTGTGCATTGTGTGTACTGTGTGTACTGTGTATAATGTGTATGCTGTGCAGTATGCATCCTGTGTACTGTGTATACTATGTACTGTGTATACTGTGCATCGAGTCGTTAAAGGTTGGTTTTACTGTGTAATATATTTTTCTTTGGATAGTATATCGCCCTTGACATATACATCTACATCCAAATTTATTTATGTAGAAATTTCCTACATTCGAATGTCTTACACAGGTTTAATAAAACTGTAGCTAAGTTATATACACACACAACACAAATTCAAATAGCTTTCTAAAAATGATCATATATATATTCTAAAATCTAAAATCTAAGATCTAAAAATGGTCATATATATCTATCCATTTTTGTATGACATCTTCATATCATCTTCGAGGCATAGGTGTGAGTTTGGAAAATTGTAGGTTCAGTAAAAATGATGTTTTTGAGGGTGTATTTTGTTTAAACCCCCTTTCTCATGAGTCTCATGAGTTTAGGTATTTCATGTCTCTTAATTCCAGACCTATTTCCACTTTCCTCATGCAAAACTATCTTAATAGACTGACAAGTGAAGTAACCATGAAAGTCTTCTAGCCAGCTTACCTCTACCTCCCAATAAACAAAATAAACCGTTTCAAAGTTTGAAACTGTCCAGAAAGACCTTCATTGAAGGTGTGTCTTGGATTGGACATACGGAAGTGAGGACACTCTATGCTTGTTATCCAGAACATTACCTGCTTAACATCACTGAAACTCTTCCTAAGCTGACCTGGTTTGTCTTTGAGGACAGGATCCTTGAAAGCCAGGACTCCCAAGATCAAAAGACCTTCATGAAGTTTCTTAGACAAAACTGACTGACTGCTGGATACCCTCTAACGTTATGTAATCGAGCTGTATTCTAAGTATTCTTGGTGCCATCATAATTGATATTTCCATGATTAGAACCATAAAACGATCTAAAGAAGAGAAGAGGTGGCCACTGAACTTTTGGAAAAAAAAATCTACCCTTCCTCTCAGAAGATGTAGCTATTTCTCTCTTATATTTAGCCTGTATCCCACCTGCACTTTCTTTATTCTGTACCCGTGATCTCCTCACACTTCAGTGATTTCATAGCTGATTTATAAGCCCCATCTCTGCTTCCATGGTTTCTCAGGTAAAGAACCTTCCTTCGTTGCTCAATGAGGTGTCTTTAGCGCCTAGTACTGCGGCTCCAAGAGAGGTAAGAGCTCATCTAATTTGGGTTAAAAAATGATAATACTTCAAAGAAGAACCCAACTCAGAATTTCTAGATATTAGGCTTTTCTGCAAAGATTTCTAGTTCTTTCTTTGGGACTAGGAGTCAGTGAACTACAATAAGAGGTCTTATTTCTGATCAGGGGCATGCCGATGTGATCCACTATGTCTATTTTGATCTCAGGCATGGCATTTCATGATCACCGGGCAGAAGGTGGCTCCATTAGTCTTGTTTCTTATATGACAACTAGCACCTCCAACAGAAATACAAGCTGACACACAGGAAGTGTTTTTGTGTTTGTTTTTTTGTGATGGTGATGTTGTCTATGGATGTAGCCCAGAGTTGCCTTGAATTTAAAAAATTCTGTATCAGCCTCCCAAGTATGCAGACTCCAGCCACATTCTATAACCCTTGGCTAAGAATAAGTTTTTAAATTTTTCATTATAGAGGTTTATAAAATGTTTACTGGCACAATACATTTAGACTATCTTAACTATATATATCATAATATCTTTTTGTTTTGCTTTGGTTTTTATTTGTTACTGAGACAGGATGTCTTTATGTGGCACTGGCTGTCCTAGATCTCACTCTGTAGACCAGGATGGCTTTGAACTCACAGAGATCTAATTGTTTCTGCCTCCTGAGTGCTGGGAATAAAGGCGTGTGCCACCACATTCAGCTATAATATCTCATGGTGAAAAAGCTTTTTTCTTAAACCTAGAGACATTGATACCATTTTACATATAACTTATTGTTTCTTATTATTAACTTGTGAGTTAATACATCCCTCAAAGTAATTAGCTGAAGAAAGCTAAAGAACAAAAATATTTAAGGTTGTGCATATCAATTACAGGTCTACTTGGAACCTAAGATATACATATACTTATACATGTGTGTATGTGTTTTAGAAGCTCACATAAACACCTAAATTCATGTACATCAAAGCTGTAAACTTTCTAAACCTCGCAGAATTACATAGTTAAGTTTTCTAAGTTTCTTCAGGAAAAGTTGTTTTTATTTATATCTTTGTTCTAATAATGCAAATAATTTGTCTGTATAACTTAAGCATTTGTGACACACATTTGATGTTTGTAACTTCTTTACCTCCTGATAAAAATGAGGGTGCTTTATTTTCACAACATAAAACATTGAGACATGGAAGTCTAGGGGTAGAACCTAAAGTAGGAATTGTTCTGAAAAAGGAGGGAATATAAAAAATGGTAGATCTTGAAAATCTAGGGAGAATGAAGGTGCCAGGCAAATAGAAGAAATAATTTGTGCTAACAGTTCATCAAAAAGGAACATCAAGAGAAAAAAAAATATTGAAATCTTTCTTCTTAGGTAGGAAGAACGTGAAGTGTGAAAACTATCGAAGGTTCCTTTACAATCTTCAGAAAAGTCTACCACAATTGAAACTAGTCGAATCTTTATGACTGGATAACATAAAAGCCTCTTTGTCAGTTGCTGATGTAAAGCAGTATGCACAGATTTGGGAAGACTTGATTTAACGCAGAAAATTCCTGTTATAAATGACATTAATTGGAAAAGCCAAAAGACACACGTTCAACATAGAATCCATGAGCACTGAGTTTGCCCGGAAGGAAACAATCCCAGAAGCACTAGAGTGGTTAGTTGTCAACACTCACTGCGAGGATGATCTGGAGGGAACTATGAGCCACTTCTATGTATTGGTAATCCAGAAAACACCCTGAGACAGTGATGTATCGATGGTCTTCTGGGGCCCAGTCTGGGGCGGGTGTCACAGATGTCACCATACATCCTGGTCCATTCTCCATCCACCAAGATCGGTGCATTGAAATATTAAATGTCAGGATAAGGTCTGTTTCCTGCAAGAAGGCAATTTGGAAGGATGAGAAAAACTGTAAATATTAGTTTATTTAGGATGAACTTATTTGTGTTTTCCGTTTGAAAATGTAGGTCCTTCTCCATCTCCTAATGTATGATAGAGGTACTTAAAGAACAGTTATTATGTGCATGTAAATACTACTTCTGAAGGTTTGACTGACCATGATGCTATCAGTTAAATTATTGTTTTTGTAAAAATACCAATGATTTACATTTGGGAACTTGGAACTACATAACTGGGTGAAATTAGTGTTATCATAAATATTCACTTCTTTTCTCTCCATATATTTATTTTTCAAATATTTTAGTTTTCCACACTGAATTTAAATTTGACTACATTTACCTTAATGTTGAAGCTAATGATAGGATTATAAGAGAACTTTCCATAGTATAATACACTATTACTTGTTTCTTCCCCTTTCTACTAAAGTTGGTCCTGTCTGTCCACATGCAATTGGTTCCAGGACACTGCAGATAACAAAATTCAAAGAAGCTCATGTCCTTTATATTAAAAGACAGTGATGGGAATAAAATGCATAGTCTTGAATATGGAGGGGGAAACTGTTTCAGCCAATCATTATCTTCAATCTTGTTAACGTCTGTTGTGAATTTGCTCATAACATTTCTTAGAAAATATCAGCAAATTCTTATAGTTTAGAGATAGTAAACTTGCAGCTCTTTACATGAACTGGCTGGTGCACAAAGTGATTGATTATGCACACTGACAAATGGGTATCAATGGCAAACAAACAGAAGGAAGGTACAGGGAATGCACCTAACACCTTCCATTTCTCAGCAAGGCACGGGGGGTGACTAGTGTGGGAACTGTCTTACTTCCATGTGCATGCGCGTGGTATGGGGCTATAGGAGCAAACCAGCCTCACTCCAGATTCAAGTGCTCATCTCCAGGCAGATGGAAGAGAGTATCTCTTGTTCCCGAGGCGATGGAGAAAAGTGTTAAGAATTCCTTGGCTTTTTGGAGCCCATTATCTATGCAGAGATTGCTGTAATTTAAGAGAAGCTGTGCTCCAGAGAAAAATGCCATGTGACAGGGTTCAAGCACAGTTTGTTTTTGTTTGTTTGTTTGTTTGTTTTATTAGGGAAAAGGATCATAACAAGGGGAAAGGGAAGGGGAGAGATGGGCTTCCACAGACAGGAGCATCAGGAGAGAGGAGAAGAAAGGAAAGGGGGCAGAGTGAGAGAGAGAGAGAGGAACAGAGAGAGAGAGAGAGAGAGAGAGAGAGAGAGAGAGAGAGAGAGAGAAAGAAAGAGAGAGAGAGAGGGATGGGAGGTGGGCAGGGCCCTTTCAAAAAAGGAATATAGTGAATGTGCACAGGTGGTGCCCTTAGTGGCTGCAGCTGAGGGCGTATCCTGTCAGAACCACTAGGCCGACCAGGACAGATGCCTGAATACTAACAGGGATACCTTGCTCAGCCTAGATATCAAGGATCTTGGTCCTGTCTCAAGAGCCTTTGCTGATTCCCCATGGGAAGCCTGACCTTCTCTGAGGAGTGGATAAGGGGCAGAGTGGGGAGAAGGTGGCTGGAGCAGAAGGACAGGAGGGAGAGGGAACTGGGATTGGTATGTAAAGTAATATTGTTTTAAAAATAAAAATAAAAAATAAATAAAAATAATTTCTTGGAAACTTGGAGACACAGAGCTTGCAAGCGACTCACCCTTAATAAGCCTGCAGTCAAAGCACCTGCTAAGTGGCCAAACAAAAAAAAATGATGATGTTTTTTGGGAGGCAAATATATTGCTACAGGAAATGGGTACAAAGTAAAGAAGTTTGGAAAAACTTTATGGTCTATCATGAGAGAATTAACTGTGGGTATTTCCCATGGCTTTCCAAGAAGAACAGAAATTTTGCTAGCAGGGCCATAAACAGCTGAATCTCTCCTGTTTCATATTCCCAATTTTTATTTTTAATTGATAATATTTTTTATTTAAATTTGAAACAAGCTTGTTTTATATGTCAATCCCAGTTTCCTCACCCTCCTCCCCTCCCCTCTTTCCCCCACCCCCACAACCCCCATTCTATCCCCTTTCTGTCCCCAGGAAAGATAAGGCCTTCCATGGGGAATCTTCAAAGTCTGTCATATCATTTGGAGCAGGGCCTAATCCCTCCTGCATGTGTCTAGGCTGAGAGAGTATCCCTCTATGTAGAATGGGCTTCCAAAATCCACCCATCCACTAGGGATAAATACTGATCCACTACCAGAGGTCCTATAGACTGCCCAGTCCTTCTAACTTACACCTATGTTCAGAGGTTCTGGGTCAGCCCTTTACTGTTTTCCTAGCTCTCAGTCTGGGGTCCATGAACTCCCTCTTGTTCAGGTCAGCTGTCTCTATGGGTTTTTCCAGCTTGGTCTTGACCCCTTTGCTCATCACTCCTCCCCCTCTGCAACTGGATTCCAGGAGGTCAGCTCAGTGTTTAGCTGTGGGTGTCTGCTTCTGTTTCCATCAGCTACTGGATGAAGGCTCTAGGATGGCATATAAGATAGTCATCAATCTCATTACCGGGGAAGGACATTTAAGGTAGCCTCTCCCTACTACTTAGTTAGTTGGGGTCATCCATGTTTTGAAGAGGGAGAAGTAATATGAGAAAGTAGAGCAGGTAAACTGGTAGTCATATGCCTGCTGCTGAGGTACTTAATGCAAGGTAGTGTCTCTGAAACGCCCAACACTGTATCATGAGCAATTCAGTTTGATAATCCTCCAAAAGTCTTGTTGGTGCCTAGACACCTTCTCTGACCTCTTAAACTCTTTTCTTTTGCTATTTCGGCTCGGAGGAGTGATAACAATAATTGCTAATTAGGAAAAGCATGGTTATGAAGACAGGAGACCATACTGAACAGGTCTTTCCTATGGAGCGGGCAGGACATGAACTTTGAGTGAAACTTGAATATCTTATTAGAGTGCTGGAAAGCCACTTCCATTTTGTTGTGGAACAACTTCTAACTGTGTAGCTCTGGCTGGCTTGGGGCTGGATGTATACACCAGACGTGGCTTAGAATGTATGGAGACCCTATGTAAATTAAAGGATACTGTGCACGTCCAAAAAGTAATTTCTCTATGCTGTGCTAAGCGATACAGCCCCTTTCCCTTTTCCTCTTCCCACTCCAGTTTCACCCATCCCTCCCCCCACCAAGTTTAGGTGTCACATGCATGTGTAATGGGTATACATGTCCATGCAATGCACGTACTTGTATTGCTCTCTACCTTATTATTATGTTTCAAATGATAACATGACGTTTAATTTAGAAGGTTCTGAATGGCAAATTGCCTAGATCTCATGTTTAAACAGCTTTCCTATCAATAATCATTGAAATCCCATGGTTTTAATTGTTATCCATCAACTCTTTTTGAAATACATAGTGTATGGAGATCCACCTGCTTCTTCCTCCAAGTGCTGAGGTTAAAGATAAGCACCACCATCCCTGGTCAGCTACTTCCATTTGTAAAAGAGACCATTTATGGAATGGCAGTGACTTCAGATGGGTTCTTATTCAAAGAAACAGGAAATCTGTCACGTCATTAATCTGGTTGTGACAGAACCAGAATCTGAGCAATGGGTAGGTTGTCTCTATGAGGGAGGAATAATGTGTTCTGCTTCTGTCTCAGCATTCCTCACTGAATATCTGATTACATAAGAAAATCAGAGGAATCACCAGGGATGAGGAGGATGAAGAAAATGGCTTAAAATGGCAATTAGATCAAGCTGAAGATGTGAGGGTAACCAGGTCTACACAGTCCAGAAGTAACACAATTTGGTCTCTAATAGCTAAGGTTCTTTGATGCAGTTATCTCAGGATCTCTGTAGTCTGATTCTCCCACAGGAAATTATCCCTAGAGATGAGGCTCCATCGGGAAGGATGGGAGAGGGGACTTTACAAAACTGAAAAACTGGCTCTTTGCATTATTGCTCCCCATCATCTGTGGCAAGACTTATTGCTCATATAAAACTAAAGTTAGTAAACAATTATAAATGAGTTTGTCTGGGGTGATCATTATTTTAGGACAGAAACTAGGTCAGAGACCATGATGAGGAGAATCTGGTTGTTGATTATCTCATTAAGCAGGGTCTGTCAGGACTTCTGCTGTGAAATCCCTTCTCCCTTGGTAACTCTCAGCAGAGAAGTGCAATTGGAGTCCACAACTTCCCAAGAACTACATTAAGGCATTGCCATTAGCAGAGTGTATGTGCAGTAGACGTCCTATGATCAGCAGCATTAATTTATAACTTTATGTTCTAAAAACTGATAGAAAAGGAGAGGAGGAGAGAAAACATAGCTAAAATAGAAGAGGCAATGGATACAAGAGATGAAGGTGTCTAGGAAGCTAAAATGGGGATACCTCAGTTCACTCAGTCAGCTCCGCCATGTTGGCAATAAGGGAAACAGAACAAACCTTCATATCTATCTGCCTGCCTGTCTGTCTATTGTGTGTGTGTGTGTGTGTGTGTGTGTGTGTGTGTGTGTGTGTGTGTGTGTACATATGTGAGTGGATGAGGAGGTCAGGGGACAATTTGCAGGAGCCAGTTCTCACCTTCCAGGAAACATGCACCATTATCTGCCACGCAGCCTCACTGTTTAATGTAATTGCAATATGTTTGGATGGTACCTTGGATTTCCTTCCAAATTTAAAATGTTTTACCTGAGATATTGGGTTACGTTTGGCAGACTGGCCAGAGAGTATGCCTTCCTTTTTGTGTGTGCATAGATTGTAAGAATCAAATATGGGTTTTCATGCTTACAAGGGAAACACCTTACCAGCAGAGACATGATGCTAGCCTAGTTCTTCTTGCTAATATACTTGCTGCACTCTTTCTTCAGGACTATTGTAGCAGAGTTGTATAAACACCATGGCTTCAGAAATTGAGAATTTTATTGCTATGTTGTTCTAGCAGCTCTGTCTGCTCTCAAGGTACAGTCAAGATGATTTCTTCTGGTCATCAAAGGACAATATATGTCCAAGACTT